CTCGGAGGAACTTCGAGAAGGCAGCCTCCTCAAGCACCGTGGCAAGGCTTCTTCGTAGAAGAAGCAGGTCGACCCCAACGCCTACCGACGCTGCGGGAAGATGGGCCATTGGGCACGAGAGTGCATAAATCATAGCGAGAGAAGAAGGTCGAGGCTCATCGGCGCAAGTCGATGATGATGATGAGGCCACTATCACGATGGCGACGTTCTATGCACTGCACAACGTCGAGACCGAGGAGAGGGAAGAGGTGACGATAGTGGAAGGACCTAGGAAGGCCCTGAAGACTGTCAACCTCGATGAACCACGTGCCCAAGTCCACCTCGTACGTGTGGGCGCCGACCAGGAACAGCGGTGGTATCTGGACTCTAGTGCCAGCAACCACATGACGAGCTCCAAGGCATCTTTCTCTGAGCTCGATGACAATGTTACCGGTACGGTGAAGTTTGGTGACGGCTCAAGGGTGGCTATCCAAGGGCGCGGCACCATCATCTTCAGGTGCCAGAACACGGAGCACCACACGCTAACGGATGTATATTACATCCCGCAGCTACGTTCCAGCATCATCAGCATTGGTCAGCTGGATGAGCTCGGTAGCAAGGTACTGATCAAGGATGGAGTCCTTAGGATCAGGGACCGGGAGCAACGACTTCTCGCTAAGGTGAAGAGGTCCACGATCGGTTGTGTACCTTTCGACCGGAAGGTAGAGCAGCCGGTGTGTCTGACGGCAAGGCACACCGAGGAACCGTAGATGTGGCATGCCCAGTTCGGACATCTTAGCTTCGACGCACTTGGTCGGCTGGAGAAGATGGTCTGAGGGCTACCCCAAATCAAGCACGGAGGCGAGCTATGTGACAGCTGCCTGGCCGAGAAATAGAGGAGGCTACCATTCCCAAAGGCGGCCAAGTATCGCGCGAAGGACGCTCTCGAGCTCGTCCACGGCGACCTCTGCGGGTCGATCACGCCAGCTACAAACGGTGGTCAGCGGTAATTCCTCCTGCTCGTGGATGATTGTAGTCGCTTCATGTGGCTGTAACTCCTGACAAGCAAGGACAAAGTGGCGATGGCGATCAAGAAGTTCAAGATGTGCGCGGAGGCCGAGAGCGGCAAGAAGCTCCGCGTGCTGAGGAATGATCGCGGCGGCGAATTCACTTCGGTGGAGTTCGCTGTGTACTGCGCGGATCAGGGTGTGGTGCGACACCACACCGCACCGTACTCGCCACAACAGAATGCCGTGGTGGAGCGACGAAACCAGACTGTGGTCGGCATGGCCCGATCCATGATGAAGGCCAAAGGCATGCCGACAAGGTTCTGGGGGGAGACGGTGACCATGGCGGTGTTCATCTTCAATCGCGCTCCGACCAAGGCCCTTACGGGCAAGACGCCGTTCGAAGTTTGGTATGGGCGCAAGCCAAGCGTGTCCTTCCTCCGGACATTCGGCTGCATCGGCCACGTCAGGAAGATGAAGCCGAACCTCACCAAGCTGGAGGACAGGAGCACACCGATGGTGTTCCTGGGCTACGCGGAGGGTACTAAGGCGTATCGGCTCTATGACCCACGCGGAAACAAGGTACTTGTCTCGCACGACGTCGTGTTCGATAAGAAGACAGCTTGGGACTGGAGCAGTCCCAGCACGGGGGAAGCTGGCGGCTTCACCAGGACCTTCGGCGTCGAGCACTTGGTCATCCACGGTGGTGGAGACACTGGGGAAGAGGTGCCGAGCACTCCGGAAGGAGTGCCGAGCACTCCAGCGGTAGAGCCGAGCACTCCTGGGATAGTGCCAAGCACTTCAGGAGGGATGCCGAGCACACCAGAAGTGGTGCCGGGAGGTTCTGCAGTGGCGGCGACCATTCCAGGATGGGTGCCGAGCACTCCTGTGGCGGAGCCAAGACGTCTTGCAGTGGTGCCCACCACTCCAAGACTGAGGATGAGCACTCCTGCAGTAGTGCCGAGCACTGCAGGAGTAATGACGAGCTGTCTAGGAGTAGTGCCAAGCACTACATCTGGGGTGCCGAGCACTCCAGGTGCTCTGCCGAGCACTTCAGGTGCTCTGCCGAGCACTCCAGCGGAACAGGGAACTCCATCGACATCGATCGAGTTTGCCTCGCCTCCAAGTGACATCACTGAGTTCGTGGATACCTTCCACGAAGGTGAGGAGGTGCGGTTCCATAGGCTGGACGACCTCGTCGGCGACACGGGTCCCTCAGGCTTGGCGGGTAGGCTGCTCAACGACCCAGAGCTGCTACTTGTCAGTGCTGAGGAACCACCCACGTTCGCACTGGCCGAGCGTGATGGAAACTGGCGATGGGCGATGCTAGAGGAGATGAAGGCGGTCGAGGAAAATGAGACTTGGCAGCTCGTCGATCCACCTCTAGGATGTCGTCCGATCAGCTTGAAGTGGGTGTACAAGGTCAAGCGGGACGAGCACGGCGCCATTGTCAAGCACAAGGCGTGCCTCGTGGCCTGAGGCTTTATTCAGCGTGAGGGCATTGACTTCGAGGAAGCCTTTGTGTCAGTAGCGCACATAGAGTTTGTCTGTTTGCTACTGGCTTTGGCAGCAGCAAAGGATTGGCGCATCCATCACTTGGACATTAAATCGGCCTTCCTCAACGGCGAGCTGGCGGAAACGGTCTTCGTCAGGCAACCTCCAGGTTTTGCCATCAAGGGAGAGGAGCACAGGGTGCTCCGACTAAGCAAGGCGCTCTACGAGCTATGACAGGCCCCACAAGTATGGAATGCCAAGCTTGACGCCACGTTGGACGAGCTTGGGTTCAAGAGGTGCGCAACCGAGCACGTGCTCTACACGCGGCAACGGGGGAAGGAGGAGGTTGTCGTCGGCGTGTATGTGGACGACTTGATCGTCACTGGTGTGCGCACGGAGGACATCGACAGCTTCAAGCACGAGATGGCGGCTCATTTTTGAATGAGCGATCTCGGGGCGCTCACCTACTACCTCGGCATCGAGTGAGACAAGGGAGGGAGGCACTCACGCTCGGTCAGAGTGCATACGCCTCGAAGCTATTGGAGTGGAGCGGCATGGCTGAGTGCAAGCTATGCGTGACTCCGATGGAGAAGTGGCTGAAGCTGACGAAGACCAGCACAGCGACAAAGGTGGATGCAACACTCTACCGGAGCATCGTCGGCGGTCTGCGCTACCTAGTCCACACGAGGCCGGACATTGCGTTCGTCGTGGGCTACGTCAGTCGCTTCATGGAGGATCCCAGAGAGGATCACTGGGCTGCAGTGAAAGCGGCTACTGCGCTACGTCAAGGGGATGGTAGATCAGGGGATCATCTTCCCAAATACCGACGGGTGTAGGCTGCAGCTCACTGTGTTCAGCGATGCAGACATGGTGGGGGACATCGACGGACGACGGAGCACCTCTGGCGTGCTCGTCTTCCTTGGGTCGGCCCCAATTTCATGGCTATCGCTGAAACAGAAGGTGGTGGCACTATCTATGTGCGAGGCAGAGTACGTAGCGACGGCCACAGCGGCGTGCCAAGTTGTGTGGCTGCGTCGGCTGCTGGGCGAGCTGACCGGCGTGGAAGCTCACCCACCAGCACTGATGGTGGACAATCAGCTCGCCACCGCCCTCGCGAAGAATCCGGTTCTGCACGACCAGAGTAAACACATCGACGTGAAGTTCCACTGCCTCAGGGACTGTGTCGATGGAGGGCAGATCGTCATCGAGTTCGTCGAAACTGGTCGGCAACTCGCGGACGTCCTCACCGAGCTGCTCGGACGCTTTCGACTCACGGAGCTGAAGGAGATGATCGGCATGAAGGGGGTACAAGGGATAGCAATAGGATTAGGAGAAGAATTGTTAGAATAATCTACTGTTTTCCTTGTGTGAACACACTGACAAGGGGAAGGCGGCACCGAAAAAGGCTCCTGTTGGATATCAGTGGCAGCTGCGCAGTGCAGTGCACCGCACGGCTCACTCACCTGCAAAGATTGTAGCCACATGCGAGAGGCCGGCGCAGAGTCAGCTCTCTATGTGTTATCCGATCCCATTGCAAAAGATGGCACCGTATGTACTAGGACTAGATGGATAGAGTTGTATAAATAGACTGCCACGTCAACTCAGTAAAGAGAGTTCAGATTTGCCCTCTCTCATATAGGGCTTCGATCAACGCTGGTGTCTTATACTGTGTGTATGCTCTGTTCTCCCTCTTCTTCAACCTCTAATCATAGTGTGAGGGGACGGACAACGCTTATTCGTGGTCGGCATAGTTAGCGGGTGCTCAGCAACACTAGCGGGTGCTCGGTGAGACTTGTGAGTGGTCGAGTGACCTGAGCCGGTGATCATGTGGGCTAACAAAAACAACATACAAGCTTCTGGAGGATTCTAGAAGGATCTAGATCAGTACGTGAAGAAGGGCACTTGCTCTTGTAGTGTGGACGGTGCATCGTGATCTTGCTTCCCAGGAGTAGAAAAAAATAATAATGACTGACCAGGTCTGCAAGAATGGCATCCTAACCGTACTAAACTGATTACACCACCTCAGGAGATACAAAAGAAACTGGATGTGATTGCAGTATATAATTATATATGATGATCACCCAGAAATCACCAAACTAAACGGCACCTAAATCATAATAACATAAGCTGGCAACAGACAACTGCATCCTGGATGAATGCGACTATGGGGACAACATGCTAGGCCATTCTAGAAACCCTGTTTCCTCAGTACATGCATGATATTCCAGGTGCATGCATTCATCCAAATGCACTAAGTTACTCTAATGAACAAAACTAATAGTAATCATAATAAAATTGAGCAATAAGACTGTCAGGTAGAAATGGTTAGAAACAATATTAAAGGCAAACTGAGTTTGAATGATGGCAATGTTAACTTAACCAGGCAGGCATGGAACAAACCTGCAGCCATTGGGATATGATAGCTTGCTCTCAATAATAATAATAATAATAATAATAATGGCCGACTCCATTATTATATAGTATAACTTATTACTGCATTACATTTGATGACGACCTTTCTTAGAGCAGCTGGTAGTAGAGTCTGACATCGACCTTGTAACGTTCGGACTTGTGCCTGACCACCTGGACGTCGCCGCCGCCGTGGCTGCCACAGCCCTGCACCTCAACACCGGTGATCACCGCCTGGAGCTCCTCCTCCCTCTTGTACGAACGGTGGCTCTCCGGGCAGACGTAGACCTTGCCAGTGTAGAAGAACCTGACGATGCAGAACTTGGAGGAGCCCAAGTGCACCGCGTAGCACAATGCGGGTGTCCACTCAGGGGGAGGCTCGGCGTACTCCTTCCAGACGCCGCGCACCACGGGCGGCTTATTCATCGCCACCGACGACGACGGTGCGACAGGGTCAGCGGCGGCGGCGGCGCAGAAGCGGCAGTCGTCCTCGACAGGCGAGATCCCGAACCAGAGCCTGTCCTCGGGGAGGTACTCGGCGAGGTTGGTGAACGGCAGCACCCAGTTGCCGGCCTTGCTCCACGCCCCACTCGCCGTGTCAAAGCTGTAGGTGAGTCGGCTGGCGTTGTTGGATACGAGGATGCTGGAGCCGCCCGCGTCCACAGTGTACGAGTCGATGGAGTGGCATTGATTGTCGGGGTGGTCCACGAGCGGGGGCGGGTCGAGAGGCCGCCAGCACCAGTCCTTGATGCCTCGGAAGGTGCGGTGGTCGGCGTGCGAGAGGACCTCGAAGCTGTGCCTCTGCCCGCCGTTGGTGGGCACGGGGTTCGTGTCCATGACGTACAGGCTCTGGCCGACGGTGAGGGAGAAGGGTGAGAACTTGGGAGCGGTCAGGCTGGGCAGGGTACGGACGGTGAAGGGCTGATCTTCAGGGTCGCACATGAAGCTGCAGCCCGTGCGGTCGACGGCAACCAACTTGTCGTGCTCGTGCCCTCCCATGGCGCCCTTGTTCTTGAATAGCAGGAACCCAACTCCACCGACCATGCGCGGCAAGATAGGAGAGCACAGCTTTATTGCGGGGTCAGGCAGGCGACCGCCGTCATGTGCCGCTGACGGATCAGTAGCTCCTCCGCCGTCGCTGCTGTCGAGCGGCACTGGTGCCCCATCCGTCGGCGTCGATGCACGGAAGAAGAGGCGCGACGTGTCGATGCCGCGAAGGGAGCAGCTGCCATCGATGCATTCGACGTCGGACACCAAGTACAGGAACCGCCGGAAACTCATCGAGCCGGCCGGCAGGGGTCCACACGATGGCCTGGCTGCAACAGTACTTCGGCCTGAATGAAGACGAAGAAAGCAGAAGCATTACCGAACGGAGATGCGAACACCATCTCGGATCAGGGAGATCATTTCAGAACGAACATATGAATTCACTCGTGCGTCCATAATCCGTATAGATTGGAGGGAGGAGCAACGTTACCGGGCAGGGCAGGGCAGGGCTACACGGCGCCGACGAAGACTCCGGCCGTGCGACGTGGTGGCGGCGGCGGTGGCTTTGAGAATTGAGAGGGAAGCAAAGACGACCGGAGGAGGACGCGGGCTGCTTTCTGTAGGGAGGGACGGTTTGGGCTTCGGCCTTTTTTTTGGGCGCTTTGGATGTTTTTTAGGCCTGCTTCGGACGGGGGCCCTTGGGTCAGCCCACAAAGACCTAGTACGACTAGTAGCTGTGAAAAAGGCCCAAACAGTTCCGCCCTCCCTGCAACAGTAGGGAAGAATACATCAGGATATGGTGCCTCTCCTTTATTCTATTGCTTTGCATTGAATATTTCCAATTAGAATAATCTTTTTCACAAAGGTCGATAGTTGCTTGCGTCCATTGGAGGGCAAGATTTGCTTTAGGACATCTCTTCTGGTTGTTTGGAGACATCTCTGAACTTCAGAATCCGGATGTGGGAATCAAAACAAGTAAACAATATTAACAAGAAATCAGGTTGACATGTTTAAGATACAAAAAGTGGGATGAACACCTGGGGATCCAGTCATGCAGATTTAACTTAAGTCAGAAACCTTTGCTTTGTTTTGGCAAACCTCTGTGGGAAAAGGTGGTATTTACAAGGTTTTACTGCCAGTACTCAAGCAATTTACAAGCTAATAGACTAAATGTAAAATTTAAAATATCTAGTCAAAATAGATAATATGCATCCGAAGAACAAAATACAGGATACAAGCAATTCTCTGAGACTAAAAGGGCCCTAGCTGTTGGACTAGAAATCAGATATAGATCTATAATTTTCAGAAAACCCATGTCACAACTTCTACCATCACAAGTGTAACCTCGTTCTCCACATACTTCCAACAACTTTCTTTGGAGCTGGATTATCAGGCCCACGGTCTCGCTGCCCAGAAGTAAAATAGAGCCACCCTCCCAGTACCCATATAAGGCTGTCTTGATTCGGAAAGGCATGCGCCCAATGACTGACCAGGTCTGCAAGAATGGCATAGATACTTTTAATTCATTTGGTTGGACCCTCAAAATTCAGAGGAAACTGTCATGGACTCGCAATAAAACAAAAAACGACAATAAGAAAAAAAAAATGGCTTGGATATAACGTACCAGTGCTTCCAAATCAAAACGGAAGACTTCACCAACAAGAATCATCTTTTTAGTGATAGGATGTTTCTCTGTAGTTCCACCAACAATTACTATGGAGCTGTTAACGACAACCCATGCAAATTCAATGTGGGAATCTGGCTTTGGCATTGGAGACAGTTGCTTCCACTTGGCACCATCATCTAGCATATACACATCGCCATACACAACCTGCAAGAGTGTAATTCTTCACATATACACCATGTTCGCTTGTTGGTTTTAGCCAGGCTTATTCAACCAGCCAACAGTGTTTTCCTCTCACAACGAACCAGTACCAGCCAACCCAAACCAGCCTAGAAACCAACCAGCGAACACGCCGATAAGAATTCAGTTGTAGCAAAATGTTCATACAATAGGAATTTGGACATCGGGGCTGATATTGAAAGTGTAGGTTTTTGTTTGAGGTTCAAGTTGAAGCAATCGTTAGCAAGTGATATCCCAACTGCAGGAACTTATTTGTTTAAAGGAAATTATGAACACAAAAAAGAAGTGTTAAAGATACCATGTTTTATGAGTACAACTCAACATGGTCCAATGCAGGTCTTGATGACGAGAAAATAAACCACGGGTGCACGAATAAGTGTCACCAGGAACCACATACACACCTCATGCCTCCGTACACATTTAAAAATAGGTGATCCTGGCTTAGGCATAAAGTCTCCCTCTTGTCCACCAATAACAAATAGTTTATCGTTAGCTACAACACATGCCCTTCAAAAAGTTGAAAAAAGGGCGTAAACTATTTGTTATTGGTGGACAAGAGGGAGACTTTATGCCTAAGCCAGGATCACCTATTTTTAAATGTGTACGGAGGCATGAGGTGTGTATGTGGTTCCTGGTGACACTTATTCGTGCACCCATGGTTTATTTTCTCCCTGCAAAAAGTTGAAAGTCAGAAATTGCAAAGTATTATTCATTTAGAAATGTATACAACCGACAGAACATCTGTACCACTACAAAGGATAAACGGTATGAGTGTCTAACCACTAGATACCAACTCATCCCTCAAAACAGGCATGACCTCATGGTGACTACATGCAAATGACACAAGTTCACTCTGAATACCTATGAGGTCCACCACGTGGTATGGGTACTTCAGTTTGCCACTCGTTCTCCAGTGCCTTGCCATCCTTGACAGCAAGGCTCCAATGCTCCAATCCGGGTTCATGACGGTCCTCTTTGCCTCCACCCATCACATGGAGCCGCCCACGCCAAAGCTGAGTAGCTGGTGCATACCTGAATTTTTTTCACAAAATAAGTTTTTTTTGGGGGTGCTATGTGCCAGCAACAACTAGAGCAATACAGAATGCAAGCAATGAACCATTTCAGCAGATTTTGAAAATAAACATTGGCAGTATATAGAGGGCCTTACATTACAATAATTCCATGTATTCCTAAAAGGTTAATCTCATTTTGTAGGATTAGGCCGATCAAGTTGAATACTAAAAGATTATTCTCCATACAAAATACTACAATTTGATTCTTAGTTAACTGCTCAGACATTAAAAAATGAAAATTAGAAGCAAAATTATAACAAGCAGATGGCTGGCATTATGTGTTTAACATGTTTGTTGAATAGGAGCATGAATTGGTAAAGCCAATGGACTAGAACCAAATTTGAAAAAGCGCGTACATGATAATAAATGATATATAGAAGAAAAAAACATAGAAAAGACATAAGCATCACTCCATGAACGGGTTTATGGATAATAAACTAAGTGCACTGTACCATAAATACCTAGGAAGTGGTAAAGGAGGCAACTCCTGCCACTCTCTAGTCTCTGTGTCGAAAACGAAGTTGCGATTGATTGAGGCGCGGCACTGTGGTCCATACTGTCCTGAAACTGCATAAATGTATCTACCATATGAGGCCATTCCTAAATGAGAATGTGCCATCTCCTTGGGCATATCAAACCTTTGGGACCATGTGTTAGAAGTGAAATTGTAAACATCGACATGAGAATGGACCTGAAAAGCAAGGAACAAAGCATCAGAAAGGAAGGATACTGCCAAGATTTTGCAATAGTAATCATTCACCAAGTAAGAAATGTTTGATCTTGCTCATTTACTAGACTATTTGAAATCCTAAACGTTATGAACAGTTCCTGGAGAAGTTGAAACCTTACAGCTAGATACTACACAGGTTGCTTCGATGTAATGGAATTAGCTCATAATTCAGCACAACCGAGCACTAGCCGTTCGATCTTTTAAGTGAAGCGTGAAAACATTGCGAAAAGGAAATCGTCCAGACTCCAGAGGGCGCGATAGTAAGCAAATGTGCCTCACATGGTCGATGTCCCCGTACCCGGCGAAGACGTAGAGGAGATCCCCAATGTGCACCGACGCCCCGTCGAGGCGTGGCACGGGCGCCGCGGGCATCTCCTCCCAGTCCCAGTGCGGCGCCGGCAGGTCTGCGTACGTAGCGTTCAGGTGTCCCACCGCCTTGGCGCGCTTCCGCATCACCTGCGAGAGGAGCAATGGTTACTGGTTAGAGTAGATAGAGCGACGAAAATTGCTCAGAACATGTTGGTTCGTGCCAGGGCAATGCGGCGCGCGGCGGCGTGGTACCTTTCTGGAAGAGGAGGCCGAGAGCGGGGAGGCTCGACGAGATGAGCAGGCCCAGAGGAAGTTGGCGACGAGGGCGAGCGCGAGCGGCACCGCGAGGCGGAGCGGCAGGGGCTTGGAGGCGGCCATGGCGGGTTCGAACGAATGGAGGGGGAGGAGGAGCGTGGGGAGAGAAGAAGAGGACGACGCGACGACATGGGCGAAGCTTTTCTGTGGGGTGGGTCGCAGAAATGGTGGGCGGCCGCGCGATGGCGAAACCGCGGCGGATTTGGGCGGTGACGGCACCGGCGTCACGGCGTCCGGTTTCGGCGCGCACGTGCGAAAGGGGAGCGCGGGTCCGGACCCACGTGTCCGCGAGGTAGTACGAGCCCGATGGCCATCCGGCTCGCAAGTAGCGGCCCGGTTCTGTCGGTGTCGGCCCACATCGTGGCCGTCAGCCCAAGTCATGCATCCTGACTCCTGAGAGGCCTTCTAGTGTTATTATATTTATGTTTTTGTTCTCCTAAAAAAAATTATGTTTTTGTGTTTTCAATGTACTTTGGTGTGATTGATTTAATCATTCTCAAAATCTGATTACCAGTTTGGAAACATTCATGTGACGATTTTGAAATAATAAAGTTAAAAAATATTTAGTATATTTAAATTTGGAGCTACTAGTCAACATTTCAAAAAAAAAACTAAATTTAGGGCACTTTGGAACGCATGAATTTTATATGAAACGTAGAGGATTATCACAGGAATTAGTTTATTTTTATAAAAACACGTAGGAAATAGAAAAAAATCCTATATTCTAAAGGGGGTCTCAACATTTCTTGAAATCTTATTAAACACTTTGCAAAAAGCATTTCAATGTTTTAATGTAAGATATAAGAATAATGCCTTTAAAATGTTGAAATAGAGGGTTTAAACTCCAATCTGCAGAACACCACACCAATGTTTTCGTAGCATGGCAAGCTACTTCAGATTGATTAAAAAGTCGTGATGTACACAGTGCAAAAGAATGTGTATGAAAGCACGCACCAAAATTGAGAAGAGCGAGCATCCGAAACAACCCATTATATTGCAGCTTTTTACAACCAGACTTAATTTGAATGTAAATTCTATAAATTGAAGTGAAGAAAGTTCTAAACAGAATCAGTAAGTAACTCAATAGGGTAACCATATTGAAAATGCTCTGCAGAAGACTATTCCATCAATAGCACGTGAAACATTCGAAATAAAACAAAAAATCACATGTTGGAGACAAATACCTCACTATTAGACCCTTCTCTGCCCCTACTGCATATATGAAAACAACAACAAAGCATTTCAATCCCAAGCAAATTAGGTGCGCTTGCATGCATGTATAACAGGGGTTGGGGAGCGAAGCCAAAGCATGTGCATTTGATTTGTAGTGTAATCAGCCCTAGTCACTAGTCAGTAGTCACGATTCAAACTACCTAAACAGTGAAACAATGATGAAATGAAATATACATAACTAGCCTGCTGAATTTGAAAAATACAAGTAAATTTAAATAATTTTCCTCACAAAGGAAGTTTTTATTAAAGACCCAAACGCATTTGTCAAGGTGATACAAGACTTTTATGATAATATTTCCAACCTCCTCTTAGAAAATGAAGGCATTTCCTGCCTCTACAACTACAAGTCCACATAACCAGAGGACTTCTAGCACATAGCCAAAGTTCTTGTAGATGCGATAGTGCTACTTGCCAAAATCATAATCATGAGACGCTTTCCACAAATTTTAGCTTTCCACATTTTTTCTTGTTTGCGGTTATTGTTGACAATCGACAGATGGACAGATATCAACATCACGCAAGTGACAGAAGGAGTCCATAAGAAAAAAAAACGCCAAGTCTGGGGATCACAATGGCTGTACTGAAGAGCCTCACATTTTTTGACCAGCAACCGTTCCAAGGAAGCTGTCAACCAAAGAAAAAGGAGAACTTGTGGTAAGGCATCATGATAACATGGATCCGATTCATACTGGTAGCGCTTGCTCCTAAGATGCCATGACATATCATATTATCCAGAGATCATACCTGATTTTCTTGCATTAGAATGTTCTGATGTGGAACTCTTATGTGCTGCCATGTCGAACCAAAGAAAGAAAAGCGAGCAAAGAACATATGTACAGATCCAACACTGAACGCAAGTCAGGAACAGAACATACTTTATTTCAAGTTGACTGACCAAAACTCTTTTTTTTTTTTTTTGCGAGTAAAGATCAGCAGGTTCTGGAATGCATCACTGGATGGAGGAAACACATGTCTCTTCAAGGGGATCATTGTTGATCATTGCACACACTTTCCATGCAGAAACCAAGCTAAAAGGTATCAAAACTGGAATCTACAGCAGTTTGAACAATGGACAGGGTTCAGATTACTTTGGTGATTGACTCAGCGCTGTTGCCTTTAGAATTGGACAAAAGCTGCAACAACCTTATTCAGTTTTATGTAATGTTATATACATAGATAAGAGTAGAACAAAACGATTACAAAACTGAATTACCCACATTGCACACACATATGTACAGTTCACTAATCACATTTGTAGCAGAAGACATTGATCACATTTGTAGCAGAAGACGAAGATTATATCTGTTCGACTGTTCTTTAGGTTGAAACCACAAGAAGTTACCTGACAAATCAGATGTGCGGCAGAAACATATCTACTGCACAAACTTATACAAAGATCCAGAGAAACTCAACCTTAAAAACTCAAATGCTAAGAACCTGACAGCTGACAAGTTCAGCAGTTGTGATACTTTTCGACGCAATGGCTTTCCAAACATCTGCCTGTTCCAAGGAGACATCTGGGACTTGGCATGTTATGCCAGTCAAAAGGGCTGGCGAATCCATTGGTTTCAGACAGTCCGTTTGCATGACATCGATTCTGCTACCTGCATCCTTGATGATCAAATGGAGCTTTCCCAAGAAATCCAACAAGCAAGTAAGGACTGTCTGACTCGGCAAAGGCCCCAACAGGTACCTTGCTTACAGCAACCTTCCAAGTATCCTCTTGAGCATCGTACATCTTTATCTTGGCATTGCCAGAAGAAGTTGCTGGCTCCAAGGCATACAGATTGCCATCTATAACAACGCTCAATTTCGTTCCAGCCTGCCTTGCAGGCCAACCTTCACCCATGCCCGTAGGCATTTGTTCCCATGAATTTGTCTCCGGATCAAAGATCTCTCCACCAACATCAACAGCGAAGGGCCAGGAATAAAGGCTCTGAGGAACATATAGCTTCCCTCTGTATGAGGTCACTCCGGTAGCAATAGGCTTCAGTAGATCAGCTAAGGACATCGGTAGAGCTTGCGATTTGGAGAATAACATATCTGGCACATCAGCCCAAACCCCAGTTGCCGGGTCAAACACTTCAGCGGATTTTAGCGGAGCTAACCCATTCTTGCCTTTGCTGACACCGCCAACAACATACAGCTTGTTGTTCAACAGGCTAGTCTTGCAAAAGGCACGCCCGGTGCTCATCGGGCTCACCTCCTGCCATGAATTGACAGAGGATCATACCTCCACACGCATTTCATCGTGGAAGCTCTAGAGAACCCACCCAAAACATAGAGGCAGCCATCAGCAGCGCCAACGGCACAGCCACAGAATGGTATACTGCCTAACAATTCCTTATGACCAAGCCAGCCTCTGATAATGTCAAAGATACTTATGCCAGCACTCACCAGATCCCCCAAGCCCAACCCATAGACTCTGCTATGACTGATCCCAGGCATGAGTGGCAGCCTCTGCCATTGGTTGCTAACCGGATCGAAAGCGTGCCAAACCAGCTTCTGATCATCTGCCGTCTTCATCAGTATGTACAACCACTCTTCGGCCACACCGAGCTCCTTCCTCAGCCGGTACAGCTCTGCGCTGGTTATCGCCGCCTTCCAGCTCCGGGAAACCATCTTGGCCTTGAGGTACCCCATCCGCGGCATCCTCGCGAGGATTTGCAGAGAGATCTCATCCGGGAGCCCCGGGATCAGCCTCGGGTGGCCGTGGCTGCAGAGAGGGGTCGAAAGCCGCATACTCTTGGAGGAATCTGGTCGTGGAGCTTCGCCGTGCTCCCACTGCTGGTCCTTGCTGGCGGCGGAGCTCAAGAACGCCCCCATTTGATGTCTCCTTGGCTACCTGTATCTACAGATAAATTAAGCAGAGAAATTCACAGCGGACCAAAGGGCAAAGGCACAATTTGAGCAGTAAAAAATGGAAGAAAAGATGGGGAAAATCTATAAGAGCAGCTCCAGTGTGTTGTCAAACCGAACCGTGAGGAAAGGGAAAGGGGAGTAGAAGTCGATTTCAACAATGGACAAACCGAACCGAGGGAAAATATTTCTCGGTTCGACTCTCAAACATGGTTCGAACTCAGGGAATAAAAAATTTGCACCGACTCTCAAACATGGTTCGAACTCGGCGGACGAGAAGAGCCTCGACATTGCTCAAACTTGTGTTGGAGAAAAAGCGGGATCAGCCGCCTGTCCAGCCATGGACGAGCGCCTCTGGTCCAGCCATTGACGAGCTGCTCCGCCAGCCAGCAAGGGCGACGAATTTGTCTGCCCAGCCACCAAGAAATTGATGCGCAAGAGTGAAAAATCCAGTCACGAAATATACAAATCCGGGATTTTGGGGAAGCAAGCCATTGATTTTAATCGAGGATTTGGGACGGGGCTTGCTGGACGAGACGGATTGAGCGGCGCTGGGTGGCTGCGGATGAGGATGAATCGGGGAACCGAAGGGGAGGGGGTTCGGTCGGAAGTTGGGAAAGGTGGAGGGGAAGAGAAATCAGCCGCAAGCTTCCAAAAATCAAAATGGAGGAGCCACCACGAGCTGCTGGGCTGGGAAAATTAAAGACATCATGTACGTGAAGGAAGAGCTAACCAGTTTCCGCAAGCGTCTTTCATCTCGCGCTTAGCAATAGCAAGGGCCACCGCGACGAGCTCAACCTGCATCTGCGGATTGGGAAGCACCGTAGCTCTTGCCGGCGTTGGAGACGAGGACAAGCCGTCGGCCTGGAGAACAGTGCGTAGAGAAAGAGGAGCTGTGAGATATTTATCGCGCGGGCAGGCCAGCGGCAGGAGAAAGGGACGCCGCCGCCGCCGCCGGCGAGGTGTTTTTTTTTCTTTCCTTTCCTTTCCTGGTTCCTCCCTTAAAGTTTAACGGGAGTATTAAATATAGATTAAAAAATAATTAATTACACAGATTACGATTAATTTATAAGACGAATTTTTTAAGTCTAATTAGTCTACGATTTGATAGTATGATGCTACAGTAACACATGTAGTAATGACGGATTAACTATGCTTAATAAATTCGTCTCACAAATTACTTACTAATTCTGTAATTTGTTTTTTTATTAGTATCGAAATACCCCGTACAATATCCATGTAACATTTGATATGACGCCTCCGAAACTTTATACCCTAGATTTAAATAAGGCCTAAATCTATTTATCATCCGAGTGAGTCTTGAGGTCATCTCACTCAATTTATTAATGATTCGGCTTGCTTGAGTTTATTTAAAATTATTTTTCAGTTATAAAACAATATTTCTCTTTCATAGTATTTCAATATAAACATTACGTAAATCAAAATTTAGCATCAGCAACACAGCGCTATCTACTGTCCGATCTCTCTAGTACGTTTCGATTTGCATTCTCCTGCGCCGCAGGGCCGTAGCTGGCTAGTGGCCGTGCGGCGGGAGGCAGGCTCAGCAGCACAGGCACAGCACCCCGGTCACACTGCCCACCTCGACCCCTATCAGCCCGTTCGGCTGGGATGGCTGGCTGGCCGGTGCTGATCAACCCTCTCATATGGTTACTGTTTATATAAACAGTATCTTTTAGTTAGAATAGTATTTTTCTCTCACACAAATAAGTCAGTAGTACTTCTTCACGAACCAGCAACGAACAAGCCTACTACTAGTACGTATAGTAGAATAGGCAGGCTGAGCAGCACAAAATCGGTCATCGCCACGTTTGTTTAGGCTTTTTTGGCTTATAAGTCATGACCGAAAGTACTGTCGGCTGATTTGGTGTGAAAGAAAAATATTGTTCGTTGACTGATAAGCCATGATTATAAGCCAAATACGACCAAGCGAACAGGCCACGGTCTGGTCACCTCGGTCTTTGTGCCTGTTGAATTAGGGGGTGTTTAGTTCTACGGACTAAATTTTAGTCCATGTCCCATCGGATATTTGACATATGCATGGAGTATTAAATATAGACTAATTACGAAACTAACTGCACAGATTGAGACTAATTTACGAGACGAATCTTTTAAGCCTAATTAGTTCATGATTTGACAATGTGGTGCTACAGTAAATATATGCTAGTGACGGTTTAATTAGGCTTAACAAATTCGTCTCGTAAATTGGTCTCCATCTATATAATTAGTTTTATAATTAACTCATGTTTAGTCCTCATAATTAGCATCCGAACGTCCGATATGATATGGACTCAATTTTAGTCCGTGGAATCAAACATCCTTAGTACCCGCTAGGCCCTACCATGGATGTGTATAGTGGCGGAGCTTGATAGTGACATAAGAGGGGCCTATCAGTACTAAATCCGTTTCAAATTATAGTTCGTTTGACTTTTTTATCCTAAATTTAATCACTCGTCTTGTTAGAAAATTTATGCTAAATATCATTTATTTTGTTGTGGTTTGCTTTATTAATAAAAATTCTTCAAGAATGACTTAAATTTCACTATGTTTACACAAATTTTTTAAATAAGACGAACGATCAAACTTGGAGTAAAAAAAAAGTCAAATGAATTATAATTTAAAACGAATGACTTACTATGCATACTTGTTATTAATTTTAATCACCAGTTTAATAGCTACTTAATGAAATTTTCAATCAGCAAGGAGGGGCCATGGCCCTCTTTGGCCTGCATGTAGCTCCGCCAATGTGTGTATATGTATATGCAAATTTGTTTCTTTAATAGGTACAGATTACATCTTATTAGACTATATTTTATTATTCCTGTTTTGGTGTAAACTCTGTGTTTAATTAGTGTAAATTGTTTATTTGTACATAGAATGGTCAGGATTATTTGAAAAGTTATCTGATTTTTTTGGCTTTTTTATTTTATTTTATGTATATTTTATTTGGTTGTCCTTTGAAATTTTTTAATTTGGCTTTCATAGAAATAATCTGGCTATTTTTTATTTTTTTATTTTCTGTATGTTTTATTTGGTTCTCCTTTGATATTTTTTAATTTGGCTTACATAGAAATAATCTGGCTATTTTTTATTATTTGGATAGTTTTTTTTATCTATTTGGTCTAGATCAAGGGTCATGAAAATCAGGTGTTACATGGACAAGAATCACTCGATTTTTATTTGTTGCCAATCGGGTGACGGTGTGGCACTGTGGCGTCCAACACTCGAGTGTAACGGCCGTCAAAATCACTCGACCGATGGGTAGACAGACACTGACCACTTGAGTGAGCAATGATGCGGCTGCAAGTTTCTCTTCAATCAGTGGACCCACTTGTCAGTTGCTATAAGCACATTCTAAATTCTAGAACAAGAAATTGTTTGCGCTCTCCTTCGATTCCTTACACACTCCGTTAAACTTATGCTTCACGGTGAAGCTGATGGTTTCAAAAAAAAAAAAAAAAGAGAAAAGAATGAAGATGTAGAAGCACCACTTGCATTCTGTTAAGGTATGAAAACGAATCGAGATAACTTATGTTCCGTTTGGTTCTGTTTTCGTTTTCATATTTGTGAAAAAAAATATGGAAGCTAGACCGGAAGTGGTATGAGGTTTTTTTTTGTGGGATCATGTTTTTAGGAAGAAACAGACTCATATTCATCCAACGTTTGAACCCTAGATCTTTATCTCAAATATTAGACTACCCACGGTGTGTTGATGCTTCAAACCTCTGTTTTCGTTTGAGGCTTGACGCCCACACATTGCAGGATGGAATTGAAGCATATCGAGGAAAGGTTCATTCATCGATGCCTGTCTTAGGAGAAAAAAATGCTGCCCCACTTGTAGATGACTTGAGGAGATGAGGCCGGTGTAACACCCTAGATCCGGTTCACGGCACAAGCAGGCACAGACTCACTCTACCGAGGGGTAGGCCTCACTTACGTAGCAACTCGCTTACGTTTTCGTCCTCGTTTCGCGTAAAAGAGTTAATCGAAGGTTACTACGCGTCCTTGGTCTGGCTATTTAAGTCGGTCTGGCCTCGGCCCAACCAGAATTTGGCCCATGCGCTGGGTCTCATATCCACCCACCCTCAATGGGTTCGACGTCCTCGTCGAATGCCAAACCGGCTTACCCTTACGGGACAAATGCCCAGGATCGACTCTCTTGGTCACGTCCATATTCTCAGCTCCTCGGCCTAAGTGCCATGCTCTCACAGGAGCCATGCGCAACCTGTCCGAGCTCCCGAGCCATATGTCCATGAAACCGCGAGAGTTTGCTCTGAATACCATCTGTAACACCCCAGGCCCGGCACACGGCATAGGCCCACTCTATCGAGGGGTGGGCCCCACCTACGTAGCAATCCGCTTGCGTTTTCGTCCTCGCTTCGCACAAAACGGTTAACCAAAGGTTACTACGCGTCCTTGGGCTGGCTATTTAAGTCGGTTTGGCCGTTTAGGATTCACGGTTTATGACAAAGCAGGGATGCACAGAGTTCCACGACGCTACAGTGCTCGCGTGAACAGTGACTGACCAACTGTGCTGTGGTGCTACAGCGCCCCGGTTTTGGCCTAGCCCACCTCGGTGCTACAGCTCGGGCCACAACCCACGCGCAGCAGTTACAGTGCCTCGGCTCAATCGGAATTTGGCCCATGCGCTGGTACTCACCTCCAGCTACTAGATGAGCGAATTAATTGTTGTTCTAACATGCTGTTCTTGCACGATGGTTCCTGCTGCAAACCAGGGGCGAAGCTAGTGAGTGCAAATGCACCACCCAAAACTTGTAAAAGTAATGGGTTTTTTTTCTAAAATTTTATCATATATGCACCACCTATAGCAAGTTTATGCACACACAAGCATGGGCGGATGTATATAGTCATTAATGGGTGCGGCCGCACCCACACAAAAAAAAACAGTGATTATAGTTAAATTTTCACCATATTCGTACCCTCAAAAT